ATACATTTTAACGCACTTTCCCGAATAATACCAGTCTGCAGTAGTCACAACATTTCTCGCACTATCCCTGGCTATTTAGTGCGGCTAATGTAAAAGTATATGTCTGTCATCTGTGTGGAAAATAGGTAAGGGTTGATGACGTTATTTATCATTTAATTGCAGACGACATATTGGGAGGAAAAAATGGCGGACGTCTATGCCGATAAGTGCAGCCTGTTTTTGCGTTATTTCTGGTTTTTATACTATTATCAGTGTTATTGACAGCAAAAGTGTTGCGCTATAAGATCGAGGACTTAGACAATGTTTTGATTGATAACGATTCTGGTCCTGACGGGTCTCATAGACAAGATCAGACGGTATCCATGCAGTACTTTTCCAGGGATGTACATCCTGACGTATTTTTGAGAAGTAATTGTCGCCGAGACGAACAGTTTCTTTGTCACGAGCTCTCCATTTTGTTCTGTTCGAACGCTTTTCGCAGCGCACTAGGTAGGTACACTTCACATAAGTACGGGCTCAGAATTTTGAATGGCAACATTAATAGCCGCGTTGATACACATTCCAAAACCTTATAAATCTAATATTGATGTACATTTATTGAAATAGGACGTACAATTGCATACAAAAGCCGGATTTTCAGTGTATCAGGCCTCCTACTCAAATCCCGAAATCGAGCCCCTGTGGTACACTGAATCAGTTTTATCACCTATTGGTAGCTTATGTCTTCAAAGACATGCAACAAGTAATGAGACAATCATATGATAAATATAGGATTAAGAATTAATTAACAACAATTAATGGGACAATCAAATGATAGATATAGGATTAAGAATTATGAAACGAGGCGAAGAACTTTAAATTTTAGCGAGGCTTTGACGAAGTATACTGAAAACCTCGTGCCAATCTTCGTAAACCCCACAAGACAGGGTCTAATATTCCGTTGCCTGTACAAGTCTACATATGAAAAAAAAGAAATAGAGTTCAACCCCTGATAGTGTCACTCGGTAGCTCACAAACAAAAATAAAGCAAAAACGAACGAAAAATTAAACTGAAAACACCTTGTTAGCTGATGTAATTTGGCAATGGGCTTGAGTTCTAAATGAGATGGAAATGAAAGAGAATGTGAAACTGCTGTAAGTAATTCCACAAGCAGCTTACAGTGAACCGAGATATTTTCTTGGTTAATTTACCATTAAAGTCCGATTGATCTGCCCTGGAGATGTATTGGTCAGGATAAAGACTGATTACAGGCGTGTCTGCAGACATTCCATACGACTAGCGGTCATTCTTTTCTTTTCCTTTTTTTCTGGTCAATTGATGTAGCTAGTCACTCACCGAATGGTCTCGTTATGATCAATATGCCGACTCCTCGCTGACCTCGGTCTACACATTCCAACTATGAATACAACGTGAGACTGATAACGAAATTGGCCTGTTAGCATAGTTGTTTTTTACTTCAAAATCATCAGTATTCCTAGTTATCTTTAGTGTAAACACTCTATAAAGAACTAAACATAAACCAACGAATATGTCTACATGAATATCTGTAGTAGGGGTGAACACCAGTATCAATTAACAATATTTCTAGCATTACAGGGAAGGAAAGAAGACAGCCATTGAAGTTCATTTAAGGAAAAACAAACGCACGCAAAACAACAAACAAAACAAATGCATGATTCCAGATAGCCCTGTGTTAGAAGCGGAACTGTCTATAAGTCTTCATAAAAAGGCACTTCGAAAATAGCAACTTGACTGTGTTTCACATTCCAGGAACATGTTGGCGATATATTTTTATGAGTTTCTTTTATTTCATAGCTTATCAGATGACATTGGAGTTAAAGATTAAATTTTACTATAGATATGGGTCAAGGTCATTTCTTTTCACAAACAGTCGTGCTTCTGGAACCTCTAAGCCAAGTAATGAGTCTACGCCACATAGTTCTGAGAATGTTGACATGTAACGGATGTAAGGAAGGACAATAGACGCTCCACCTAGAAAGCACTTTGATTTTTCCAATACTTTAAGAGTCTATCGTTTACCGAGGGATGAGGATGGTATTTTGAAAGAAAATTATATTGAATATGTATACCCTGATGTACCCTGATGTAATTTTAGTCTTGAGGTAGTAACGGATGTGATTAAGGATTTATCTAGCAGAAAATCTATAGGTATTAATATGATTATTAACGAATATTTAATTAGATATCAGGACATTTTTTACCTGTTAAATGATGTTTAAATCTATGTTACAGACAGAATACTTTCCTGAATCATGGGCACATGGAGTCATTAAACCTTTACATAAACAGGGGAGATAATGATAATAAGTACCCGGTATTCCTCGGAGGAATATGAAGTTAGTCAAAATGTTTACTTCCATATTAAATACATGTTTATCTGCATGGAGTTCTAGAGAGAATATTGTTACAGATATTTTGACACCTTAAGGTATTCATTGCATGTATAACGTAAAATTGCTGTGAGGAAATATTCGATAAAAGTTCTAAATACGTATAAATATATATTAAGTGTACTATTCGATTTGAATGTCAGGAAGTCAAATTGTAAAAATAATTTGGTATATCAAATTAAGCGCGAATTATGTAGACTGTGTATTACTATATTTGGATACGACAACGTGTACAAAACAAACATTAGGTCGGTACATTTCAGTAGCAGTTAAATCTAGTTAAACCAATAATATTATCAAACAATTATTCCATCAATTTCGAATGCAATGTCACACACCTAATATAGATTCTGGTCATTATAATGATAACCACGACAATGTACGGGTTGTAACACAGGCAATATTGAGGACGAACTTTATTTATACTAATTTGTTCTGCCTGCAGTGTATTTAGAAATTAGAAAGAAAATAACAGGTAGTGATTTAATTCGATATTACAAAAATTAGATAATTATACTCATTACCTACATCTGTAACCTTGACCTTGACTGAGAGTAAAGTATACATATTGAGTACTCGCCGGTTTTAGATAGGTCACGTTCCACGTTCTTGTATCTCTCTATGAAATCGCATCATTATTTCTTTCCAATTAGTTTAATTTTGTGTCCTAATTTTCATGGCTTACGTGCATGCTTGTGTTGTGTGATAGCATGATTCAGCTGGTGCGGTTAAATGTAAAATATAGTGTAAGATATATTTCAGATGTATTATGTAAGAATGTATTTATTTAGCCATGAAATTCCAGCAAATCTCTCTCTCTCTCTCTCTCTCTCTCTCTCTCTCTCTCTCTCTCTCTCTCTCTCTCTCTCTCTCTCTCTTAATTAAAAATAATATGTATATAATTATTTTGGGCCATCTTCAAATGTATATATGTATTTTTTTTCTAAAGGAAAGGGTGTTAATGATGTTATTGTAACTTGTGCTACTGAATCCGTTTAATGGCAATAAAATATGTTTAAACAAGAGTACACTATTTGCACTGTGACATTTTCGTTTTGGTTTTGTTTGTTTTTTTCGTCGCATTTATCATTACGTCACCAAAACATCCATGTCGCCAGAACACTGTCATTCGTCGGTGAAACGACATCCGGACACGGGTGCCCTATGCGCTGACTGGGTAGTAAACTGAGAATGACAGTAACATTTCTTAATCTTTGTATCAAAATAACTTATCTAGAGAGAAACCATTCACATCAGCTGGATCAATCTATTTTAATTTAGAAACAACTTGAAATATATTGTGTATACAATACACAGATATGAATTGAGATACATATTAAATTACTTACTTACATATGTAAACATTGATCTATATCAGAAGAATTGCCAACTTCTTTGTAAGGAATGCGATATGATTTATAAACATCTAGGTTTTGACAATTTTTCGGTCGCTTTGTGTTCACCTCAATCACTTCCTGGGCTTCAGTATTTTGGCCCTTAGCATCACTAACGAGTGCTAGAAGGACGTAACAGCTGTATGACTCAATTTAATTAATTGTTTGGCTCCACATTTGTATTAAAAGGTGCAATTCATTTCTGTTTTTGTACAATATTCCAGACAACCAGTGGTAAACACTGCTGGTGGAATTTTAGTCCTCGAGATTTGCCATAACCTGCATAATCAATCGCTACGCCGGCTTCAAATTCAGGTCCCCAGCATAATTGTTTGGCTCTATTCAATGTAATTGTATTAAATAGGTGCTATTCACTTTTGTTCAAGTTTCTACTCTCTGAATTTCTCATGAATTTCGTTGGGGGTGGGGGGGGGGGGGGGAATGTACACGTAATGAAATTTACAACACACATTTAGTATATCATTTATTCATCTTAAGAAACTGACTTTTCATACGTTGTGTACAGTTATGTAAGTATATGTGCAAAACTACATGTATATCAACTGAAAATCCAGAATTGTGGAGTTTTTCCACGTCTAATATATCACTGGGTAAAATATAATATACTGTTCATCAGCTATTCGAGTCACACGTTCCACGGTTAAAACCTTCCCGATCAATCAAACTGCTGTGCCCTACACACTAGCCTAGCCTGTCACGACACGCTATGGCGTTGTATGAGTGGGGCGCGCGCTCTCGCGAGGCCGCTTGATTGGTGATTGATTGTGATTGAGTATGATCGATTGACTGAATCTGATTGGCTGACGAGCGCCATTCCCTCGGGGCCAGTATCACCGAACAGGGACGCTCACCACCGGAATACGGCCCCACCTTGTGGGAGACACAGAAAACAAATTGTGTGTGGTGTTTACTTGTCATGCGACCAAGAAGTTCATGGGAAAACATTACGTTTGGCTGACGATACGACATAATTCAAGTTTCACCATGGTGTTTTGATATTTGTGGATATTAGGATCTACGTACCATACACTGGATAAACATATATTGCCTGTATAAGTAACAATATATACCTATACGGACGGAGCGGCAACATCAAAGTGGAGTGAATATTCCGTGTCAGTAGGTACAAAGAGGGGCCTCCGACAGGGTATCTAAAACAACCACGACAGCAGAATGGAAAATACTCAAATAAACCTTGATACCCTGGAAAGAACTGCTGCTTGGGTTCAGCAAGTTTCTCAAATGAAGGAACAAGCGATGGAGGTAAGTATATATCGGAAATATTTATAGAGAGTGACCTTTACGTTTAACTTGGCTTTAGACCAATTATCATGCCGAAATACCCCTCTCTTGAGCCCCAAATATTATTACCTTGTACTGGGCTGATCAGCTGGTAGCTAGAAGACTTGGTCATAAGCATGTGAAACATCCACTTTCTTTATCGTATCAGACGTATACACATCCGTGTTTCAAAGTGAGCTGTATTTTTAAGTTAATCTTAATTAGTATAATGAATGAATAAATGAATGAAATAATTATAAATAATGACAGAAATAAATGCGACAACTTTAATGTTGTGTGTTGATATGATGAATTTCAGTTCACACAGTACACATATACAAAACTGTATATATATACATATGTATATCTAGCTGTCTAGAAGTTTTCTTGTATTCTGCTGGTAGTCGAACTGTAGATATGTAATTTTTAAATGCTTGTATACCATAACAACAACCTATATACAAACTGAGGGTTATGAAATTAAAATTTAGGGTTGTATTTGAAAAGAATTTTCATGTTAGCAAGCTAAGGTTCATAACTATTCAGAGGATTTCAACAGATATTTCTGAACAGCTGTTTTGTATGTAACATACATTTGACCAAATAGATTCAAACTATTTATTTGTTCTCAATTTGATAATGAAAGTAGACATATTGAAAAATGTATTCAAAAACCTTAAACTACTTTTTATCGCATCAACAGTTCAGATGATATTTTATTTAATTCAAACCAGTATTTGTTTTATTTCAGCTCAGACTGAGATGTAATTACATGACATTAGTTTAACAATTATTGTGCAAAACGGTTCCTTGGCCTACATGCACTTTAATTTACTGCTCTATACTGAATACAATTGGTCATATTTTTGTGAGTGAACCCAGCTGGGGTGCATTATAACATATTTAATGTTACCCTGGTAAACCAGCTGACCAGAGATGATGGTAGAATATGATTACATTTAAACACCAATTCAAATTGTACATGTATTGTCAAGTGCATTTACATGTGACATCCTCTCATAATATTACATATTACATGCACTGTTTCTACTAGTAATCCTATGTATTATTATAGCTGTCACCTTAGCATTGTAGATAAACATCACACTATGCTAACCCCAGATGAAGACTTAAGGCTTTTGGTTTCCTTATACAATTTTCCAATTTTTTTTTTTTTTTTTTGTGTTTCTCGAAAAATTCTGAAATCACTGACCAAGTGCACTATGTGTTTTTAACTTTAGGCAAGACCCTTTACTGAAATATTCTAGAAAATAGATATGGTTGATGTTCATGCAGTGAAGCAGTCCCTGGCTGCTTAGGAGACACTGACTTTAAACTACCAAAGTGGTTGTTCAGAAGGGATAAACTTAATGAAAATTAAATAAACAAACAGCATTCATTATTGTGCAAATTAAATATTTTTGTGAAATTTTTAGCTCACCTGTCCAGAAGGACCGATTTATGGCATGCTGCGACATCTGTCATCCATCTGCAACTTTTGATCTGAAACATTGTTAGGTGAAAGGAATGTTTGGTATAAATGGTAGGTCTTGGCCCCCTGGAACCTGAGGGACAGGACCCAATATGGATAATAGAGAATATGCTTTAAAACCCTTCTCCTCCTGTAGGAATTCATGGATTTTGTCCAAATTTAGTCTGAAGCATTGTTGGGTGAAGGGGAGCCATTTTGTGTAAATGGTAGGTCTCAGCATCCTGTTGCCTGTGGGATAAGGTCCAATATGGTTGATGTAGCTAATTCTTTAAAAATCCTACTCCTTCTGTAGGAATGATTGGATTTTGATGAAATTGAGTCTGAAGCATTGTTGGGTGAAAGGGACTAAGTGCTAGGGAAGGATTGGTGGGCTCAGTTGGAGAAAGATAAGTTCTTAAAAGTACCTCTGCCATACAAGGATATTGTCCAAGTTCGTTCTGAAGCAATTTCTATGGATAGTGATTCTGATCTGTTTGACCACATGGGCAAGACCTTATGGGAAATTATATTAGAAATTGTTTGTCATATTTTGAATTCTTTATTAAATGTCTGAATAGCAAAATTAGCCAGGTGACAATAAAGGCCCCTTGGGCCTCTTGTTTCTTTTTTTTTATTTATAAAAAGTAAATTATGAAGCTGCTGACACTAGCTTTATTACATACTGGTATACAGGTGGTATGTATTAACATAGAGATTAAAGGTGATCATTTGATTGACAGCTGACACATACAGGTGACTGGTCTTGATGAGGTCGACCACATGTAGTACCTGTACTTGTAACCTAACTATGATAGGGTGAACACAGATAGTCTGGTTATTTCTATGTCAAGTGCTGGTTTCCAGGCTTATTGCAGGACAACAGAATAGCATTTGCTTGTATTTTTTGCTCAACATCAATAGATATGGATGGGCATATTACCAGGCATGGGCTTGTGTTTCGTTAGATAGATATGACAACCATGCTACAACGTACCTGATCAAAAGCTGGCTGTAAACAAGGTAGAAACCTTCCATGGCTGAAGGTGATCAGGAACACAAATAGTGAACCACCTGTCCCTGTTGGGGAGGGGCAACGGGGTTGGGGCAACAGGGGCCTAATGTATTGAAGTTTAAAAAATCATCATCTGAGGCCCCATGGATGGAAGGGTCTTAATTATAAGGTGTTTTACCAAAACTGTGGTTCCTCCTTGGGAGGAGTTAAGTTACTGTAGTTTGTAAAGGAAACATCATTGTCCATATTATTACATCACAATCAATTTCTGACTTTTGCAGCCAATGAAAAATGCTCTAGGGTATATTACGCTTGTGACATTTTGTGAAACCATTAATTTTTGTGTAGGATTTGTTTGCATTGATTTCATGTGTTTAAAGGCTTAACCCACAAATTCATACATACATTAAAATCAGTATACCATAAGTAGATTTATTTAATGCAAAATCAAGGTGGTGTTAAAATCATAGAATTTAAAAAAAAACAGAAGAAAATCATTTTTAGATATACGTTTTGAGATGTAACTAGAGATGTCTGTAAGACTTGAATGCCCCTGACCTACCACAATACAAATATACTATAAATGGTGACTTTGACATTGACCTTTGCACCACACCCTGAAACATAAATTCATCAATGGTAATGTAATATCATTTATCTTACCTGTATTTCCAGTAAGATTCCCTAAATATGGATGGAAGTTGCTAGGAGTGAAAACATTTATTTGGGTTCAGAACAAGAATCCCACCCCCTATCCCCTTGAGGAAAAAAGATTTTGTTTTGTTAGGCTGATAAATAACACTTCATTTCTTGGTTTCCTTGCTATATTGCAATGTATAATGGTACAAAATTTGTACAAATATCAATTAACCTGGAAGGATAAACATATTTAGAAATTGTGTAAAATGACATTTATTTATTGTCACAGTTATACTTGGGACTTGTGGTTTTGGGTTCTACTATATCAGCTTTATTATATAATTATGGCCTATCTGGCTTGAGTTTAAGATCTAATATGGTAGCATTAAATTTCTGCCTATTAATTTCACCTAATTTGGTGAATGGTACTTGATAGGTTTCGTTTTTCTGCAGTATTTCAGTACAGGAAACTAGCATGCTGTTTACTGTAAGAGCTGCTGGAAATGTAGACTGGTAACATAACAAACACCTGTTCCACCTTATAGTAGTATATACAAATGATGCTCGTAATATAGACTTACATATGTATGTATTGATTAGGTAGAGGGTTGGTAAGTTGGTGAGTAATGTATTTTCCTAATAAAGCCCTGTAATGTACAGATCCAGAATCTGTACTAGGCTGTACCATGCATTAGTAATCCCGAAATTTGTTGGAAAGATGTTATGATATCATTCAGGGTGCATGTATTAGTATAAATTACTTTCCTTTTTGCAAGATCTATCATAAATAAATAATAGTGGCACAGGTTGAATACATGTATATACAAATTTGTACAAGTGTTGTTAGTAGGGCAAAAAACCCAAAAAAACCTTTAACTTATATTAAAAACCAGATGTTTTAGAGAGAGAGAGTAAGAGGGAGAAAAACAAATTGGAGTGTAAAGAGAGATGTAGAACAGCTAGCTGTTTGTTAGGAGACAAAGTGTTGTTATTTTAATCAATACTACTAAAATTAAAGTTTCAGCCTTGTGGATGACGTGTTAGAGATCACTACCGTACATACCATATTCATCCAGTAATTACCCCATACCTGCTAATAAGTCCACTCATGTCTATTGCAATTTATTAAAATGTTAACAAATATTATTTCATGGATTGTCTTGTAATCAGCCTGCTGCCTTCTTTGAGGTCAAAGTTTGTCTTCACTTCTGGGATTATTTTACAAGATACAAAGATATAGTAACTGTGCTAGGTTCATAAAATAAATAACATCAAGAACATATATATGTACATGTTTCAAAATGTTATTTACCTACCTTCCTCACAACAGATTATATTTTATCTAAAAGTTTTCATACAAAAAACTATACCCTAAGGTAGTTTATAAACATTTCTCTTTTCATTTGTTTTATATAGGAGGACCCTCAGCCTCCGGACAGCGGTTTGGAGGAAACGGAAAACAGTGATGGACAGCCGCTCAGTCAGTTTCATAACATCTACCAACAACTACAGGACCAGTTCAACACATCATCTGGGGTCAGTTTATCAGGGGTCAAAGGTTATCAGTTCAACACATCATTTTTTTTGGGGGGGGGGGGGGGTCAGTTTATCAGGGGTCAAAGGTTATCAGTTTAACACATCATCTGGAGTCAGTTTTATCATGGGTCGAAGGTTATCAGTTCAACACATCATCTAGGGTCCCAAGAGATACATCACTGTATTGTAAGGTATGCTATGTATTAACCTCTGAAGGTGTCAATGTGAAAATTATCACAACTTTGATCATTGTCACAAGTTTATGTCTGATTTAAACTTATTAAATGTAGTTTGAATTTTATTGCATTGCTTGTACAGAACGTAATCACTGAAAATTACTGAATTGTGTTAGCCATTGAATCTATTTACATATCAATTACTGTCAAATCATTTTACAAGGAAAAAAATTCATATCTGTTTCTAGAGTGAAGTTGATATACCAAGTACAGTTAAAGAATTCAAAGATGTGTTGGAGAAATTTGGAATTTCACAACGGTTTGCAGCTAAGAATATTATGGAGAAGACCAGTCAAGGCAACCTCAGTTTTCTGTTGGACAAAGGTCGTAATAAACAGTGGCACGAACTCAGTCCCCGTGGTCGTGTTCCATATGTACGTATGCGACGGTGGCTAGACAGTACAGACGAACAGAAACACACCATGTCTCTACTACAGAAATCAAAAGGTAAGCCATGAAAGTTGTTGAATAGAAGAATAAAATTTTACTAAGTAGATCAATAAGAAAAGAAAGGAAATTTCAGGAGGATTGTGGAAATGAAGAAATAGTTACTTCATGGATCTCTTTCAATAAGTTAATTCATCATCTTATTATGGGTTTGAATGATGAATATGAATACCTAGTATTTGATAAAAGAACAAGACAATTTAAACATGTCAACAGAAGTCAAACTTGAAACCATTGAATTGAGGCAAAATATTAACGGTTGATAGATGAACACAAATAGCTTTGAAAATTAAAAGAGAAAAACATCAGGGGTTCCAGAAGAGTAAGCTTCTTCAGTTTTATCAGCAACACTTTGTCACATGTATCAGGTCTGCCATGAAAATCTAGGTCTACATCTCTATAACTATAGCCTGAGTATTTTTGAAGATAATGTCTAGTATGTGAAATGAAAATGGGTTTTAATGTCAGAAAGTCTTGGGAATTTGCATGCAATGTTTCTGTATTCCAAGAAGTATTTGTGAAAGAATGTTCTTATTAGGTCGATTATATCATTTTAACAAACCGTTTGTTGTGCGAGATGAAATCCAGCTTTAGCAAACTTAAAGTTCTTGCTAACGGTAGAGTCACCATTAGAATTGACTGAACAGTCACTCGGCTGTAGGATCAATGATAACTGCATCAATAATACAAATACATTGTTTTTTCTTCAGAATATAAGAAGACCGGCCCTAAGGATGGATTTGGTCGTAGAGAAAAGTTCACAGTTTTTCAGTTGATGGTACTGTGTCGGTTCTTTGAGGAGGACCCAAATCCAAATCTGTCAACTCGAGCACTTCTTGCTGAGAAACTTGGGGCCCCTGTCGACCGAATCACCATCTGGTTTCAGAATCAGCGTGCACGAGGATTCCCAGCAAAGAAAATGCTCAGCCAATCAAATTTCTCCAGAAAGACTGCTGGTGCTATGGATACAGTTACCTCATCTACCAGTAGAACTGATGCTAGTTTACAAGCGGCAAGCTTTCCACATAGTCACGCAACGCCGTTTAATCTCTCAACTCATTTATTACAAAGTATGTCACATCTACCTCCAAGTTTACAAGGTCAAAATTCCGCTAGTCTTTCATCCTCTGACCTCTCGGACTCATTCCGTGGTCAGTCTTTACCAATGGCTGCTCATGTTAAGAGCAAGCCGTATGTAAATCGACTTTTACCAGCTCATTTACAAGGTCAAAGTCATTTAAATGGTCAGAGTTATTCTTCTTCTCGAGGACAAAGTCATGTACCTGATAGTACTATGACAGAAACGACTACGCAGTCCGACATACTTCAAAAGTCAATCAAAGTAGAGTTTCAACAGAAATGTGAAATAAGTGACAAACCCACAGATAGTAATAATAGAGACCAACCTCTTAACTTTTCTACTAGTAATAACACAGTTAATACCCCTACATAATGAGTGTTTAACATGTAGAAATACAGTAAAATCATAAAACTGAACATTGTCAGATTTCTGTTCATTTCCATTTCCATTGCATATGAAATCAATACTGACTCATCTTTGAAGTTTAGTTGATAGTTACAGATTCAAAGTAAAAAAGAAATAAAAAAAATCATCAATCTAGTAAGAGATGGATATGATTTTTTGAGTTGCTTTCGTTACATATTCAAGAATTGAAAAATTATATCTAGATCTATTGCAAGACACTTCACCTTAATTGCTTGAGATGGCGTATGATGGGCCTTCTGTGTGTTGTTCAGCAAGGTTACTATTGCCAACATCTACTGCAAGAAGATCCTGGTTCATGGTGAAATAAACTCAACAGACAAACACGCTCTGTCCTCCTGAAATGAAACCAGGTATTTAAAACCATGAAATCATATTAAACATGAAAACCAGTACTGATTATTCATTATAAAAAGCATAACTCAAAAAATATGTACCATCTTTATTGGGTAATAAGCCCATCCATATTATCAGTGTTCAATAAAATTTCTAGCAAATGCTTTTTCAACATCTATTGTGATAAGCCAACCCTTTGACTGTGAGTCAGAATTCATATCTTGACCAAACTAGCTTATTATGTGATCAAAGTATTGAAAATGTAGTCATTTCTTACTCTTTTTACTACATGTATCAGGCAATAAGAATTATGTTTCAAAATAAGCCCACCAGTATCTTTGTCTATTTTCAAGCCCAATCCCACCTTTATTACTTTGAAGTAAGAGATTATTACAGTTTCCTTCCTTGGGTTATTCCTGGATATAGATATGGCAGTTTAAACACCTGATGTATTGTTACAGACAAGTCAGAATGAAGCAGCTAGGTTTCTTTTTTCTTCCAAATTTTTATCAGGAGAATTTGTAGGGAGATTATTTGTTCACTGAATTCACAAGGAATGGCAAACAATTTTACTGTTAATCAGGTATTAAGTACTTGATAATTGTTACCAGTGACCCTCCTGCTGTGTGAAAAAAATCACTGTCATGTAATCATATAATTTCATGGGGTGCAATTTTGGAGGTTTTGAAAAAAACAAATTCCTATTTCTTCAACTCTAGATTTACTGGATTAATATAGCTAAATAAATTTGTTTATAAGTGAAATATGAGTTTGCAGATTTAGAGTACCAACAAAATAATAACGAGTGATTGATTTTACAGAGTGGATCACACAAAGTAGTTTTTTTTTTATTTCTTTTAACAATTTTCTGGATACAAATTATTCAATAATTAAAAAATTTCAAAATACCTTTTTTTAAAGTTAGAGGCTAGGATCTGTTGATGTGGATCAAATTCATAGTATTACAGAAGCCGTGACAACTGGGCTTGTTAATAAATTCAGCTATATTTTCTTGTTCCGTTATATCCATACTGTATAAATAACTAGTATCTTACTGAATTTTCATTAGTAACTTCAGTTTTAGATTTCTTTTTTTTCTTTAACTAATTTTATGGTTTTTGCCTCATACAGTTGAACTTACTTCAAGAAACTTTCATCTTCATATGTAAATGTAGCCAAATTGGTTTATTTGGTTGAAAAATAAATGAAAACTTGTAAAGAAAAAAAAATCATAGATTTCAAATAGCTTTAATAAGGTTTCTAACCCTGAGATTGCAGTTGTACAAATTGAGTATACTTTGAATTTTTGAACTAGAACAATTGCACACTTTTAGATGTTGCCTAATGAATGTACTCCAGCTAACCCAAGATTTTAGGAAGAACCAAGATGCTCCAAAAGTGTAACTATACTCTGTTGAAATGATCAAGTCCTAGTTTTGATGGCATAATTCACAAACAAAAAAGTCAATATTGTCTCAATTTTTACTCGAGAAGTGTTGCGATAGCCTTTTTTTTTCTTTTTTTTTTTTTTTTTTGTATAGTTCTACATCTATTTTGACTTGCAGGGTTAAACATTTTAACTCTGGGAACAATACACATTTTGTCAATGTCATCCTGTACCTTCGTTTATTGTCTGATGGTGTGTTATATGAAATGTGTATGTAATGTTAGTATGTTTATTGTTTTATTTATTATTATTTATATTCATGTTACTATATTTAGTTGATGTTTACAAGTTACATTCCAGGTACATGCATGAAATTGGTTTGTGTTAACATTGTGAGCAATCGATTGTATTGATATGGATGTGACATAGACCTGGGGGAGAGGAGGACCCCAGGAGATTGATGGTAGTGAAGGAGGGGGTAAAAATTACTAGTAAAATTAATTCTGTCATTATGTCCAATATCTGGCACAGGGGCCAGAGGAAAGTAAGCAGTGTACAATACCCCAAGCCCTACAGATTTCATATCAGGTCTTGTAAAATTTCAACATATTTATCAATAAACTACTAATATTGGTCTGATGAGTTTAATTTTCTAAAATTAGCCAGTTAGAATTCAAGATATGAAACTGTATGCCTCGATAGCCTTCTGTTTATGATGGAGTATCTGTTATAAGTCTGATTTATCAAATCCAACTTTTTTATCTTACACAAATACCTCTTCATAGAATCTCCTCTTATTGGTATATACATAGGCATGTCCAGTTTTTACATAAATAATATCTGGTCAATGTTAGTGACTGAATATGAGATTTAATTTGAGTTATGATAAATAAATTTATCACGTAATGCTATCAGTGTAATAATGATATGTTATTACATGCATGTCACATGACCTAATAGAACTGTGGGTGACTTAAGGTTTCCATTGTTTTTATTGTGGCATCATAACTTTATGGTGTTGCATGCATTTAGACGTCACCAAAGAAAGAGATGTTCAGCTAGAATATCACCATTTTATAAAGATTTTATGTCACTCTAATATGAAATTATCAAACTTATGGCTACAGAATAGATTTATGAAAATTGTTACAAGTTTTTCATTTCACCTCAGCAGAGGCTCATTAAAATGAAAAATCCTAATACTCGATTGATAAATCTCGCATGAACAAAAACTCATTTAAGATTCTCTGTACGTTAATTCTGATGAAATGTTACGAACAAAGTTTTTTACTCTCTAAATACATTAAAATATTTTGTAGAACGATCATGTTATACCAATTCTAGTCTGACAGAAGTCTCACAAAAAAGATGAATACCATGCACCATGAATTACTGGGAACAATATGTTTGTTTTCTTTCACACTTCAGGAAGAAGTATTGAAAAATGTTCTGCCTCTGCTGGGGCTAGAACTATTAACCTTTCATTTCCTAGCTGGTACTGAACTGCTCGGCTAAAGAGAAATTCCCTCAAGTCAAGATATGTATGGTGACCTGTACTGTCAACTCTACACTTCTCTTTTATCCTGGTCACAATGCCAATCCGAAAAGGGAATGAACAGTTTCCTTGCCCTTGCAGGGGCTGGAACTTAAATGACCTTTCATTTGCTAGCTGGAAACTTGGCTAAAAGGAAATTTCCACTAATATTGAACATTTTTATCACTCAACCCTACACTCATGTAGACTATAGACCAGATTACTTCTGATTCATAATTTCCAAATAAACTGTTGTTGACATCTGATTGTATTAAAATGTTTGATGTTTTTTGGCCTCCTACTATTTTTATTTGTTTAATTATTACTTGTGTCCCAAAGTCCAGAGTTTTATCATCAGTCATAATCAATACTCTCACACAGGTCAGCTTGCTAGAAATCAAAAATATGAATTGTATATGCATGCCAGAATACTCATCTCTGCAGTTATGTATCTGAAACATGAAATACAAGTTATTACAAAACGACATTTAGGAATTTGATAATATCTTATACCATTCAAATTTCAGTTACCTGGTAGGGTAAGACTGAATGATATCTATGAATAATTTGGAAATGCTAATGAGATGAGATGCATATCTCAGTAAAGTAGCATGCATCCTTAAGTCTCCAGGTCATAGTGAAAAGTAGCATACATCCTTGATTCTCCAGGTCATAATAAAATGTAGCATACATCCTTAATTCTCCAGGTCATAGTAAAAAGTAGCATACATCCTTAAGTCTCCAGGTCATAATGAAAAGTAGCATACATCCTTAATTCTCCAGGTCACAATAAAACGTAGCATACATCCTTAAGTCTCCAGGTCATAATGAAAAGTAGCATACATCCTTAATTCTCCAGGTCATAATAAAACGTAGCATACATCCTTAAGTCTCCAGGTCATAATGAAAAGTAGCATACATCCTTAATTCTCCAGGTCATAATAAAACGTAGCATACATTCTGAAGTCTCCAGGTCATAGTGAAAAGTAGCATACATCCTTAAGTTTCCAGGTCATAGTAAAAAGTAGCATACATCCTTAATTCTCCAGGTCATAGTAAAAAGTAGCATACATCCTTAATTCTCCAGGTCATAGTAAAAAGTAGCATACATCCTTAATTCTCCAGGTCATAGTAAAAAGTAGCATACATCCTTAAGTCTCCAGGTCATAATGAAAAGTAGCATACATCCTTGAGCCTCTACGTTACAGCACGGTAGCGTACATCTTTAATTAAATATCCATGTCGCCAGATGCTTTTTCTTAATTAATTTTCCATGAGATGTTGTGACAACATTTTCTGAAGTGTAGAGAAGACACATATCCAGAATAGAGCCTCCTGTTTACTGCCTTTTGTATCATGAAGATGGCTTATGCTGTTTTAGTTATGCATGTGCATCACATGAAAAAATGCCAAGTTTAGTATTGAACTTATCAACATAATTATTTTAATTATGGATGCTTATCAATCCATTGTTTGCATGTTATTAACATTTTGATGTACAGGAACCACACCAGACATCATGTAGACATGTGTCTATCAAAATGTCTGGCAGAGAAGCCAGATGGTATAAAGACTTAATTGGCCTGTCCTGGAGGATTTACATTTAACCCACATATATGCCAGATTTACCCAGAGATAAATTTTTTTTCTAAAACTTTGGTAAAGATGAATAGTTAATGTTAGTTGTGAAAT